GTTTGGGGCCTGAGGATTGTTGTTGTTGTTGGTGGTGGTGGTGGTGGTGGCCCAGTCAATCGAAGACAACTCTCGCAGCCCGAAGACAGCTCTGCTTTTCTTCCCTTCCCCGTTCCATGGAAGTCGTAGAATAGAGGATGTTTGAGAGTGCAGCGTTGTATCCACACTGAATGTATGATTCTTTATGAACCGTCGACTCCTTAGATATCTTAATGAGTTCACCACCGAATCTGTTTCAAGACGTGTGACAGACAACTTGGCAAACAGAAACCTCTCCAAGGATGGCTTCCTGTACGACACGGAGCTGCGCCCGTTCGCAGACAAGTTTGGCTTTGAGGGATCTGCCAGCGAATGGGTTCGGGACCAAGTCCGTTCAACGCATCAAGGCAACTGTGCCCTGACGGCATTTGTCGTTCCAACCAAACTGAGGCCGAGGAGCACCTGTGGCCTGCACATATTTTTGTCAGTGTCCTGCTGCTAACGACAGTCAACTCATGTGATTTAGTAGAGACTGTAGAGTTTTCTTTTGTTTAAAGTGCCATCGAACTTTCTTTCGCAGACATCAACGCAAGTGCAGGAGTATCAGACCCTATGCAACGAGTATCGCTGCTCACCAATGCAGGTACCCAAGGGCCCAGGGTGTATACGGTATACGCATCATCAGAGTTCCTATCGGAGCTTACCTCAATACCTCCGGACGAGACCACGATTCACTCTCGCACAAGTTTTTGTGGCCACATACCAGACCAAGTCGCAGAGTGGTTCATTTTTGGAGTAGTGATCATATGCAGGGCATGGACATGGTTGCCTTCGCAAGAATGCTCGATGATGAGTGCAGCTCTGAGAGGTCGAGGCATCAGGAGAGAGGTTGATTTGGAGGTGAAGGTCTTGGTTGATGTGGGCTTGTTTCTTGCTCTCTTATTGACATTCTTTCAAATGATTTCCTTCTTGGAAAGGATTTGCACATCCGTAAATCTTTCGGATGATTTGGAGCGATTTTCACATTTTCACCTTTGAAGATCTCATTTGTTAGATCTACTTCCCCAAGGCATGGCTGTCCTTTGAGCGATGCGGAGCTGGCCGGGTTGCTGCGTGTCGAGCCGAGTGGAAGTTGGACGAGTCAGATGGATATGACCAGGAATCCTCCAGCAATTGCACAGACTGGTCAGCGTGACAAGGTGAGTCAAACCAGCTTCCACGGGCTGGTAGTCCGGAACTCAGCATTTATGACAGTTCACGGCCCCCTACAGTAAATTGGCCATCTGCCTGGCGACACGTTGAAACACTTTGAATTCAATTGAAATCGCTGGTACTTTGCCGGAAACCTTGACGACGATCTTTTCACCAGAGGTATTGTTGATATCATTTGCTGATACTTGCAGTTCCCGGGCAAGCCGGCGGCGGAAGTTTCCTATAAGAACAAATTGACCTATAGGAGTGTTCCGGTTCTCTCAAACACGCGCGTCCCCCAGTCAAACGCACGCGCTCCGGACTTCAACCTTCAGTACAACTTGCCTGTTGACAAAACAATCAACTGTAACCAGTGTTGGGTTATGATGAGTGGTGTATGATGAGTGATGTATGATGAGTCTTGTATGATGAGGGGTGTATGACGAGTGGTGTATGATCAGTGGTGTATGTTGAGTGGTGTATGATGAGTGGTGTATGATGAGTGGGCAGCGAGAGATGACTCAGCAATGAGAGATGACTCAGACTCAGCAACCACAGATGACTCAGCAGCGAGAGACGACTCAGTCGCGAGAGATGACTCAGCAGCGACAGATGACTCAGTCGCGAGAGATGACTCAGCAGCGGGAAATGACTCAGCAGCGAGAGATAACTCTGCAGGGAGAGATGACTCAGCAGGGAGAGATGACTCAGGAGCGAGAGATGACTCAGCAGCGAGAGATAACTCAGCAGTGAGAGATGACTCAGCAGCGAGAGATGACTCAGCAGCGAGAGATGACTCAGTCGTGAGAGATGACTCAGCAGCGAGAGATGACTCAGTCGCAAGAGATGACTCCTCCGCGTACTAAAGTTGTACTGCAAAATGGCCAGTTCTCAGCTTCCAGCTCCACAGGTTGCTCCGCATACTAAAGTTGTACTACATAGTCGCCAGTTCTCAGCCTCCAGCTCCCCAGATACTCCGCGTACTAAAGTTGTACTACAAAGTGGCCAGTTCTCAGCTTCTAGCTGCACAGGTTGCTCCGCGCACTACAGTTGTACTACAAAGTCGCCAGTTCTCAGCCTCCAGCTCCCCAGTCACTCCGCGTACTAAAGTTGTACTACAAAGTCGCCAGTTCTCAGCGTCCAGCTCCACAGGTTTCTCCGCGTACTAAAGTTGTACTACAACGTCGCCAGTTCTCAGCTTTCAGCTCTACAGAATGCTCCGCGTACTAAAGTTGCACTAGAAAGTCACGAGTTCTCAGCTTCCAGCTCTACAGATTGCTCCGCGTACTAAAGTTGTACTGCAAAGTCGCCAGTTCTCAGCTTCCAGCTCTACAGATTGCTCCGCGTACTAAAGTTGTACTAGAAAGTGCAGCTCTACAGATTGCTCCGCGTACTAAAGTTGTACTAGAAAGTCGCCAGTTCTCAGCTTCCAGCTCTACAGATTGCTCCGCGTACTAAAGTTGTACTAGAAAGTCGCCAGTTCTCAGCACCAAAAGCGCTGCGCCTGCCACGAAATCTGTACATGGAGGTTCACAAAGTGCTGCGCCTGCCACGAAATCTGCACCTGGAGGTTCACAAAGTGCTGGGCCTGCCACGAAATCTGCGCATGGAGCTCCACAAAGTGCTGCGCCTGCCACGAAATCTGCACCTGGAGGTTCACAAAGTGCTGTGCCTGCCACGAAATCTGCGCATGGACGTTCACAAAGTGCTGCGCCTGCCACGAAATCTGCACCTCCAGGTTCACAAAGTATTGCGCCTGCCACGAAATCTGCGCATGGACGTTCACAAAGTGCTGCACCTCCCACGAAATCTGGACATGGAGGTTCACAAAGTGCTGTGCCTGCCACGAAATCTGCACTTCAAGAAACAAGTGAAAACTCTAATCCCAATGGAGGGACGTTTCCGACCATGCCCGACCATGATCCGAGCATGACCCGAGACCGTCTCGCGCCCGTCGTTCCGCAGAGCTAGACTTGCCAGGTTTGAAGCCACCGGTTCTATTGAAAAATACAGCATTTCGCGCGTCCGCTATCTCTCCAAAACGCATTTTGTATTGCGCCTGCCACGAAATCTGCACCTGGAGGTTCACAAAGTGCTGTGCCTGCTACGAAATCTGCGCGTGGAGGTTCACAAAGTGCTGTGCCTGCTACGAAATCTGCACATGGAGGTTCACAAAGTGCTGCGCCTGCCGCGAAATGCACCTGGAGGTTCACAAAGTGCTGCACTTGCCACGAAATCTGGACATGGAGGTTCGCAAAGTGCTGTGCCTGCCACGAAATCTGCGCTTCAAGAAACAAGTGAAAACTCTAATCCCAATGGAGGGGCGATTCCGACCATGCCCGACCATGATCCGAGCATGCCCCGGGACCGTCTCGCGCCCGTCGTTCCGCAGAGCTAGACTTGCCAGGTTTGAAGCCACCGGTTCTATTGAATCATACAGCATTTCGCGCGTCCGCTATCTCTCCAAAACGCATTTTGTATTGCGCCTGCCACGAAATCTGCACCTGGAGGTTCACAAAGTGCTGCGCCTGCCACGAAATCTGAGTCATCTCACCAGTGGTGTATGATGAGTGGTGTATGATGAGTCGTGTGTGATGAGTGGTGTATGATGAGTGGTGTATGATGAGTGGTGTATGATGAGTGGTGTATGATGAGTGGTGTATGATGAGTGGTGTGTGATGAGTGGTGTATGATGAGTGGTGTATGATCAGTGGTGTATGATGAGTGGTGTATGATGAGTGGTGTATGACGAGTGGTGTATGATGAGTGGTGTATGATGAGTGGTGTTTGATGAGTGGTGTATGATGAGTGGTGTATGATGAGTGGTGTATGATGAGCGGTGTATGATGAGTCGTGTGTGATGAGTGGTGTATGATGAGTGGTGCATGATGAGTGGTGTATGATGAGCGGTGTATGATGAGTGGTGTATGATAAGTGGTGTATGACGAGTGGTGTATGATGAGTGGTGTATGATGAGTGCTGTATTGAACAGCTGTTGAATGTCCGTAACACGGAAGTTTTGCACACTAAACTTCCTTTGATCAGTGCCAGTGTGTGCAAACTTTTGCCATTTGACTAGGGAAGTCTTCTTGGGCCATGGGCCCACAACGATTTGACAGGCTTTTCTTTCTTGGGGGACATGGTAAGGAGTAGATCTGGGAGATATCTTCTTGTTCTTTTGGAATCTCAGTCTTGACGAAGACAAAACCATAGTTTTGTAGGATTGGATTGTCATCGTTGCCTTTGAGGCTAACCCGTTCTGCAATTTTCCTGTCTGCAGCCTGTTGTTTGATGGGCCGGCTGGGTACCGATGAGGAGCCCATCCGCCCATCCGTCGGACCGCCAAAGTCGCTGGTCACCCACGCCCATGTTCGACACCCCGATCACTTGACGGATGCCAACGGCCCTGGAAGCTGGGGGCTTGTTTTTCCCCGGAAACTTGTACAGCAGGTGGGAAAGAACTGCACCGCTTGTGGTGGAAGGTAGTTGTGTTTGGTTGATGCCGTGAAGAAGGCAACCTGCATCAAATCTCAGTTGAAGGCCTTTGAGATCGGACCGGAAGTCTTCAAGCATGACTAATTCATTGATTGAGCCAGTCTTGGAGGATGACAGATTCATTGCACTCCTCGTTACGTTTATTTTTCTTTTAAATGAGCCGCCGGTTGCAGCACAAGAAGAGCGTTTAGCCAGTTGACCATGATATGAGATGATAAAAACATGTAAGTTTCAAGTTCGCCCCTGTCCGCATTGGCCATTGCCATGCCACTGGACCGTGAGCTCTCGCAGCGGCTGGAGAGGAGCCATGGAGAGGAATAAACACCGTAAAGTCACAGTGTTTTGGCATCAAAAGGTTTCTCGAAGAGACCAGTACGGTCTTCAGGGGTCGATACTTTCGACTTCCAAGAGTGTAGCTCAGAGGGATCATGAGGGATCATTATGGGCGTGTTGTTTTGGAGCTTGCCAGATAGGATAGATTGGCAATTGGTTTCCACCAGGACGCACCGGACAAGGTTCCTTAGCTCACTCACCATTGCAGTGCCTTGGACATGTCTTGAACATCTTCTCCAATACAATTGGTCCAATATCCCCTTCTCCGAAGCAATTCCCATCACTTCTTGGTTTCTGTGTTTGGGAAGATCACTCACTTGAGTAATGACCATATTCAAAAAACTCTCCCACCAAGCCCAAGATCTTTTTCCTCCCCCGAAGCTGCAGCTCCGATTTCTGCCCATGGGCCAGGGGGGAGGCCGAAGGTGACCTGTGGCCTCATGAGTAGATGACTTCGAGTGACGATCGTTTCCGCTTTTGAGAACAACAATTTAACAACAACAACAACAACAACAACAGTTTTCACAAAAGCACAGTCAACTTTTGTCACCCTACTTTGACATCGAAGGAGGCGGGGCCGAGCAGATGCAGATGCAACATCTCCTGCTGAACCCGCTGCCGGGAACCACAGTGGGCTTTATTTGTTTGATCTACAGTCATCTTCAGGGAAGTATCTTGCGAAGAGCATGTCAGGTTGTTGCAGTTGAAAATTTCTAGCTTGCCTCCTGGCTTTTCTCCAAACATGTATGTATATAGGCTTGCAGAATTCAATTTTGGGTCGCAAGAGTGTGTTTCTTCCTGACCGCTTTGCCCACGACTGACCCCAGGTGGACCGGGAACGCTACGAGGCGCACATCGATCAAGAGTTGAAGTCCAAGTTACGGCAGCAGTCGGAGCTGATCATGCGTTCCTGGGACCGAGCTCAGAGGGTGACACGACAGCGATACACGTTTTCGACGGCGAATGTTTTGAGACACACTGGACGTCCCAAAAGTGTGCTGATCATCGTTGGAGTTGTACAGTTGTACATTATAGTAGAAAGATGCAGCTGCGGAGTTTGATATTGTAAAGATGGTGCTGATCTTGATGACTTTGTAAAGACTCTGCTTGCTGAAAACTTTGTTCTTCTTTGTGGACACTCTTCCTTTCTGAATCTTCTGACAATGGTGCTGGTGATGCTGTTTGGGCTGCTTGCATTTTTAGCATTTTCTTTCAGATTGTAAACAATGAAGAACGTGTCAATATGATTGTTTTGTGCACCATATTTTTAACCTTTCAAACCTAGAAGCTTCCGCAGTGTTTTGCAGTGTTTTCTTACAAACACCTCTCCAAGGTTTTGAGCTACTCTTGCAAAAACAAAGAAATGACTACAGGTCAAATCTAGTCAACACCACTATGTACAGTGCTTTGCAGCATTTGTTTCCAACAATACACTCTGAATCCAATACTTTTGAAGTATATCGGGGATAGGGTTTGGAAAAACAAACAATTAAACACAACAAACACAAATACAACAAGAACACACAAACACAAAACAACAAACATCCAGGCACAGCCTAAACACTTGGTGTCTTTTGCTTTTTGTGTGCTTAGTTTTTGCATTGGACAATTTTACCTCAAGCAATTTGTTTTTCTTTGGGAATTACCGTTTGTGTTGTTATGTTCTTTTTTGGGTTTCACAAACCCTATTTTACAACACACGGAGTTATTTGTATATAGTTGATTTTGGAAAGCATTCTCACGTATAAAGTATTGAGCAGTTGTCATCCCTGGTTAACCCCCCCCTGCACAAAGTTTCTCCCTTATTCACAATCTTCCCGTGTAGTACAAACATTTGCTCAGAGACGTATCTTCATTGACAAGACTTTTCTACTAAACTAACAATGCATAACCCCCTTTCTTTCCCCTTTTTTCCAAGGATTCCATTTTATCCTTCCACAAGCCTACTTCTGTGTGAATGCCTTATCCTCCATATATGAGAGTGTTGTCCTTTATAAGGGCATCATACTTTGTGTTATTTCAACCTACTTTTTCTTTTAAGGATCTTCTCAATTGCACAAGTTCTCTCCTTTATGAAACTGATCATCCTACACACCCTTTTGCAAAAGCATCCATCAGTGCAAAAAGCTTGTTTGTAGAAGCTCAAGTTGTTGTGACCTCCTTTGTAATGCTTATTTACTCATTTCCCAAGTCTCAAGTCTTCCTTTTCCTGATTTTCTATGACTGTTCCAACATGCTGCCAACATAATGACATAGCCCAAGTATGGTGTGACCCTCAAACCCAGGCAGACATGCATTCTTGATGTAAAACATGGTCTTTAAAACGGTATTGGTTCTTCTCTGTAGGGTTGTCCTCCTGACAAAGTAGTATCCCTTTAAAGGTCTGCCTCGTCTATGTAGACAAATCCTAATCCTTCCATTCAACACTCTTTTGCTTTACCCGTATCCTTCTGTATCATAGTTTCCTTCCAATGAAGTGCAACACTTTATTTTTTGTCCTTTCCCCAATCTTTCCCTCCATCAAAATTTGCAATTTGCCTAGGTTTCAGACTAGGTTTTTAAAAGTCTTCACGCTATTTACAGTGTGTTTGAGGTCTTGTTTAACAACGTGCTTTCTCTCAAGCACACGGCCCTCTATCTTACGAGTACCTTTTTGGACAGTTTTGATCAGGTCAGACCAACTCGGGGATGAGCGACTCGTGCAAGAGACCGACTCGCTACGAGGCGCACATCGACCAGGCCGAACGGTGGGCAGATGGTTTCCACACGAATGCTGTTTCCACACGATTTGTTTCGCGCCTCTTCAGCTATTGAATGCTGGCCCAGCGAAGCAAGAGGCTAAGCAACCTGGTCCCCCAATGCAGGAGTTGGCGAAGAAGTTGCAGAAACGTCAGACGGAGCTGCAGCTTGAGGGTGAAGGCAGACCTCGGTCTACCAAGGCACGAAGCACACAGAGCGCCCATGTTAGGGGTGCAAAAGGATGCAATGCAAGGGGAATTGTGGGTTGAGGTGTTCGATTGCATTGCTGATCCTGGGGAGGTACTGGAACCGTTTTGTGAGCACGAGTGAAGCACCTGGTGTTTCTCATTGTTGAAGAGATTTCTGTCCTGCCTTCGTGAAACAAACATAGACTCATCTGAGAAGAAGTACGGTGGAATGTGGGAAGCCACGTCAGTTGCGCTGAAGCCAGCATTTGGGATCTTCGCACGTCCGCATTTATGGCACCAGATGATCAGACAGACTTGAAATGCATTGACATGCTTTATGTTTTCTCTTTCTGCTTTCTGCTTCGTGGTGCTTCTCCCCGCACCCGCAGGTAGAGGGCCTCCGTGGTAATTCCACGTTTGAAGCCCACATTGACAACGAGCCTCTTGGCGATGTCGGCCACCGGGATAGAAACGCAGGTTGGCTGGTTGGAGGATTGTCGAAATTCATTTATCCTTCCACTTTTGTGGTTTTGCACCAGCCCCAGGCCAGTCCCTTCAGTTGCCCTAGGCTCGCAGCCAAGCTGCGGAAACGGCTGGAGGTGGAAATGGCTCCCCAAACGGCCGCTCCTGCGGCTAGGCTCGAGAAAGACGAGGTGCGACAAAACCCAGGACTGACTGGGTGGGGCGCAAGACAAAAGACACCAAGAAACCAGAGTCAAAGAAGGATTGCCGAAAGCATCGAACTTCCTTGTCGCAATATCTGCTCAACGGAAGCTTTGCAGGGAATCGACATGCTCGACCTCTGTTGGATAGCCGTTTCGGTGCCAATCAGAGCTATGCCACCTATGCCAAGCCAAATACAGCAACAGTCGGGAAGTTACACGAGGGCGCCATGGGAATGACCGCGGCGACCCCGTTGCCAAAGCTGGGAGCCCAAGATTTTTGAAGACAACGTTTGTTGGACATCATTGAACACGTACTTGGACTTACTACTGGTACTTAGTCTGGAGGTAAACTGGTGGTCATGTGGCTTGCACACCTGATTCGGATGCATTCTGGCACCTCAACATAAATCACAGAATGTCCTTCAGAGCCTTCCCACGCAAGCCGCAAAACGTTTTGTTACTAACGCTGATGCGAGGAGCCATTGACGCAGCGCATTAAAACCCCGTGAGGTCCATGATGGCACAAGCTTTAAGGACCTGGACTGGCAATGAACTAATCACTGACGTCAGTCACATTGATGTGGGATCCCTTGCTTCGATTTGGACATGCAGCACACTGAAATGCAAACATGGAAGGTAGCACGTTCGGGTGAGTTATCCTGATGCTTTGTTGAAGAAGGGTGGATCACGGGCCATCACCAAGTCCTTGTACACCTTGCAAGGTTCTTGCATCCAACATCTTCCTGCAGATCTCTTGGCATCTAGGCCAACTGGAAGTCTTGGCGTCCTTGAACTTTTGCAGCTTGCACCCAACACCCTGTGGAAAGAAGACGTTGGAATCCCCCGAACCCAAAGGCCTAAGCGCAAGAAAACAAACAAATTAACGATTTTGGGGTGTTGAATTTTGGCAAGGAGACGGCGGTTAACGTGCCTCAATGGTTGCCTCACAGGGAGATTGAGGATAACAATTGGTTTCCTAATTTGGAGTTTTGTTTTGACTCTTGACCAACTTATGTGTGACATCTGTGAACTGCTTCAATAACCTCATTGGTGCACCTAGTTGGAGTGTTTCGTGAATATGCCTGCATAGATGGCTCCTGACAGGTTAAGGTTGGGATGACACCATCACGAGCAACATGCTTGACCGCAGCAGAGGAAATTTTGTGACTCAAATATGCTTCGCCCTCACAAAGACTGAAATGGCAATCGTCTCTGATTAGAAAACAACACGCTGCACTCGAACCACAAGCATTGTTGATTTGGTATGATTTGGTCAAGTGTTGCTTTTGGGTACCTTGAACGCAAAACACCCTCCAGCATGGAACGGCGACTCAAGGTGAGGATCCTGATGGCTTGTGGTGCCATTCTTTTGTTGCTTGCTTTGCTTGGGGTCTTGATCTATGGCGTGGTACACCCGACTCCATCCGGCCAACCATACGACCAAGAAAAGACCATCTTCACGACCATTATGGGTGTGTTTGGATTTGCTGGCATCATTGTATGCTGTGCTGGATGCTTCACTGCCGGCGATGAATACAAAGATCAGCCTGTAGGCACTAGGACGGGTACATCTGAAAGAGACAGCGCAATATATATGAGAGAAACGGTGGGCGCGGCTGACGAAGAGGCGGCTGTTTAACCAATTGTGATTCTTCTTGTGTCTCGAAGAGACCTTCAAATTTTGGAAGAGTGAACATACACAATTGCACCTGCTCTTCAGGCTGAGTGTGCTTTGGAGTCTCAAAGAGACTTTCTTGTTGGGTGACACTTTAATGGCCCTGGTTCAAGATCGATTTCGCTTGTATCTCCAACAAAGATCGCAAGTTTACCGAGGACAAGGCCGCTCGAAAGGAAAACCGACTGATTGAACACATCTAGTTGGGTTGTGAGATTACGAAAGCCAGCCTTCGTAGAAGGCGTCAGCTGAGTTGTGCTTGGCGAACGAAGTGAGTAGTTAGGGGGTCTGGGGGGGGTGGCCCGCAAAAGGTACACGTAGACTCGGCACATGCTGGGGGAGGAGGGTGGACGGATAGAAGGTTTTTTGAGGTGATTTTTGAGGGGTGGTGATGCAAGAAATGCAATTTGCATCATTTGCATCATCTGAATGGTAAGGTGTAGTTGGCACCTTGCCAGGTATAGATACCCAGGGCAGCTATAGTGCAGTTACCAGGTATAGTACTTCAAGTTCCCTTTCCATCAACCGCTCAATAACCTTTACACACGCACAGCAATCCGCAGCTTTGAAGTCTCATGCGCGCGATACCTGGGAATAGAATTGTAGCTACCCTGGGTCCGTACAAATGCTATGTTGCTATACCTCTTACACACCTATATAAGTTCAAAGCACCAATGAGACTTCAAAGCTGTGGTTTGCTGTGCATGTGTAAAGGTTATCGAGCGGTTGACGGAAAGGGAACTGGAAGTACTGTACCTGGCAACTGAATTCTAGCTACCCTGGGTATCTATACCTGGGTAAGAAGGGGGGTTCGGGGGGAAGTTCAATGCAAGAATGAGACTTCAAAGCTGTGGATTGCTGTGCGAGTGCAAAGGTTATCGAGCGGTTGACGGAAAGGGAACTTGAAGCACTATACGTCACTATACCTGGTAACTGAATTGTAGTTACCCTGGGTATATATACCTGCGCCAGCTGAGTAAGAAGGGGGGTTCGGGGGGGTGGCCTGAGAAAGCACATTCGAAAGTAAAAACGCAGGCTTTCGTTTTGCAGCTTCTCAGGTTTTGTGGGGTCCAGTGGCTAGTGGACAGGTGAAACTTGGAGAAACACGGTCTCGTCATGCCCTCATACCACAAGAGACTGTTGGTAGCATGTGAGGTTCGTTCACCAATTCGCCTGACATTTGTTATATTTGTTGGAGTTTTACCACCTTCGAGCAGCTTTCTTGGTGGCACGAGCTATTTGCAAAAGATCAGCACATGGTCGAGGACGACCCTTGAACTCTTTAAATCACCTATGTGACCAAAGACCAAGAGGATGTCCAAATTTGGGAACCCCGGAGTTCAAAATTGGTGCCTTATTATCGATCATGTATCGATGAAAACATAGGACAGCAACACATTGGTAGCCCAATTTCTGGGTGAAGCTTCGTGGATGTTCCCAGTGCTTTTGTCAATTGTATTTGCAGCCCTTTCAGGCCTATGAATTTGAATTCAGAGATCCCCAAACTACAAGGTGTGTGTGTGTACTAATGCTAGTTACTCCTCTTGTACTTTCTATAGCGGGGGGACCGTCCATGTGCTGTGCACGATAGTCCAAGGAAGCGGCGACAGTACATGCAGATATCCCGGCTGATGACCGTGGCGTACCTGCGTACCTGCTTGAGTTTGTGAATCTTGATAGTTACGTCCCACTCTAGAGTCTTGGAGGCTGTTTCCAGGGTTGGTGAGGTCGTGCTGCAGTAAAGGCCGCATTTGGCAGACTGCACTTGTCGTTCGATCCGTGTTGTCGAGTTGTTGAGAGCTGTTGAGTGCCTTTGACATGGAGGACCTTTTCTACCTGTTGCATTTGGAGACGGTTGAACTCTACTGCGTGCTACCTTTTCTACCCAGGCAACTTTCTCCATTAGGCAACTTTAGGGCAAACTGCGCGATCAGAGTGCGGTGCGTGTGCGTGTGCGTGTGCGTGTGCGTGTGGGTGTTTGTGTGTGTGTGTGTGTGTCAACGGGACATTGGTGCCCAATCGCTGAGTCCCATGCTTGCCCAAGTTCACCACTTCTTCTGCGCAAGACAGCTCAACCTGTGAGACAGCACAACCTGTGCAGGCACTTCCGCCTCCACGGTGCTGGAGTACCTCTTGCATCACGATGATGTGCGGCTCAAGACTCTTCTTGATGAGTGCGAGCAGCGGATCAGAGACTGGTAAAGTTTGAAGTCGTTGAAAGTTGGCAACAAAGCCATCCAACCTGGAGTTAAACATGTTTAAAGATCAGTCTCTGGTAAGACGCCACGGGGACCGCCAACAATCTCCAACAGCTGGCACGGGGAAAAAGGTTTGTATGATGCGTGAAACACATCTGAAATGACTTTGCCTTGTTCAAGGGAGGTTAAGGCGGGTAAGGCAAGGGTTTGGTTTCACGTTTGTTTGTTTGACTGTTGACCTTTGCAGACACCGTATGGCAACGACTGTAAGTTTGGACTGTAACTCCTTGCTTCTTTGAAGTACCCCCACACTCAATTGCCCTTGGTGGTGCTGACGATTCTTTGCACCCGGCCCTCTATCAGCAAAAAATATACATGTATATATATATATATCTATAAATAGACAAAAACACATATATCTGAATAGACACACAATATATATATATATAGACAATATATATACACAGTATTTATATAAACATTATACATACATATAAATCATCATTCCAGCCAACGTGTGACCCTTGACTGTAGCAATGGCTGAAAGAGTTCTGCGTTGCAGCAGGGTATTGCAAGCAGTAAATCAAACCGATTGCTCGACGGAACGGAATGGCCAACCAATTCGGGGCTGTTGCTATCACCAACGTGGAATCACCAAGGATCAGATCGAAACTGGACCAACAAGTCTCGATTTTGAACAGTGGGTCGGAACTCATGGCCCATTCTTTGGAGCGTTCCCAAGCGCACATCTTGGGATCGTCACTTAGGGCTCTGCCTTGAAATGATGCATAAGCCCAAGGATGCATAAACATACTATAGGTATTTCTACATCCAAACATTGTGGGCAATCCTCATGACTCATGCCACGAGGTCCTGCCAGAGGCTGAAGAAGTTGTGCTGCTTTCGTGCGATGCCTTTGTTGGGCAATCTGCCTGTGTCTTGCGGGTATGGTGGTCACTGGTGCAGCTTTGCATATGCGGCGTATGCTGCGCTTTGAGCAGGAGATGGAGACGGAGACCTGGATGGAGAATTGGCGCAAAGGTTACGCCAGCGCAGACAAGTGACTTGGATGATGCAGATCGCTGGCATTGTTCAGCTTCATATAATCTCTCTGAACTTGAGGTTAGCTGAAAGCTTCAATTGTCGGATGCAAAGACCTGAAACACTGGATACAGTTATATATATATTGTTACTACTAGTAAGGCACTTGTTACTACTAGTAAGGCACTTGTTACTACTAGCGATGCACCTGTTACTAGTAGCTTGTTATATATATCCTGCAGATTCCGACAGATTCTCTCACCAAAGATCTCCCGACCCGTCGGACACCTGGGCGGTCAGAGGTTGTGAACGCACAGGGGGACGTTTTCGAGAAGGGTGCGCAGCAACAGGCGAGGCCGCAGATGGCTGAGGCGAGATGATAGAGATTTTCGAGTTGACAGCTGAGGGAAAGAACATGTGTTATCTTTTAAGGACAGACAGAGGAGGCCTAGGAACTATTCTGCGTCCTGAGTCCTGTGCTTCAAAGTTGTTCGTGTACATGTAGTTTGGTTTGCAAACTTGGACCTTTGGTCACTTGACGAGGTCCTGGACCAGATACAGAGCATACCTGAGACCAAGCAAAAGCGCCGAGACGTGACTGAAGAAGGGTAAGTTCTTTGCCAATGTTGGAGAAGATTCAGACGACTCATATGTACTTTCCATTTTTGTCAATAGGACCCCTAAGACACAGGAATTTGTGCTTCTTCAAGTTTGCCTCTTTCCCATGTGGCTATATTATTCATCAAAACAATTGTTTTCTTTTTTGTGGCTGCAACGAACAGGTGAATTTGCTGACAATGTCAGTCATGGTCAGGTTATGTCCAGACTGCAATATTGAAAGAGTCATGTAGAGTACTCAAGCTTGGTTTTGATGAAGATTGGACATCGTCACATAGTCCAACCTTAAGTCGTTTTGGGAGTCGTTTTGCTTGTTTTGTTCGGTGGATGCTTCGGTGCTTGAAGGATTTTGGTGGCTATTTTGCTGCTCATTGGTGGTGACTGCTTATGGAGCTTACCAGCTGCAGCCTGTCGAGTGAAGGTGTGTGAGAGCGTCACTCGGAACGTTGGACCCTGAGCCATGCGCTTGAGATTCTGCCGCGGCAAATTCGTGCACTCCTTTGCCTGAAGCTTTAAGTGGGCAAAGGCAGAATTTGATGAATTGCAAGAGACCGATATCTGGCATCAAAAGCCAAAAGTTCGCCAAGAGCCTGACGTGCGGCGGATTCAATGAGCGACGCTGCAGCGAGACTCGCAAACCTAAGAGCTACATGAACGAGTTGTAGATGACACTCACACCGTCAATCTAGGCATGTATGAAACTCAGAATTCAGTGGCACCCAACCAATCTACTGAAGTCGTTCTGAGCTTCAGAAAAAAGGACACATGTAAAGTGGCAAAACATCGTCGTAGACAGCCTGTACAACAATTGAACTTCCATCATGAAGCTCTATGTAGGTATGTTTGGAGGGCTATTACATTTGCCCCGCCCTCTTTCCTGGTACGTGACAAGACAAGCTGGTCTTTTTGGCGGGCAGCTGGCATTGGATTTTTGTGCATACACATACGCGTGGCCCACAGACATTCCTGCAGCCATGTGTAAATAGCATGACAAGCATATAACTATATATATATAGCTGCTTCCATTTCAAAGAGCCAACCCTGTTCGCAGCTGGAAAAGGGTTGTAATTACAGCTCTGAATGTCTAGAGGGACTTCAAGTATTGATGATGTGGTCGGGCTTTGCGGAGATGTGAAAGCAGTGCTTGGGATGACATTGATGTGATACAGAATCAAGCCACTCAATCAGCCAGCAAGAATCTTCTCAAATGAGTCAAGAACCCAACTAGGGGACAACCGCCCCCATGGCGCATACCTTGGCACCGTATTTGGAGGCGCAACAAGAAGAGAAAAAACACAGGTCCTTTCTTGTATAGCGATGGAGGGGTGGTCATCTTTGGTGAGGTCATCCGCCACACGCTGAATGCCGCCCTTTGCTTGCAGAACTACCCGTCGCAGGCGAGATCGAAGCCAGGTGAGACGCGAGACGAGATGTCCGAAAACGTTTCAAGGTGGTGGAGCGGCAAAGTCGGCCTGAGATTGAGTTCAAGGCCTGACCTCATTTGCAATTGCTGCATTCATTGGCACACAAAGGTCTGGAGTGCGATTCAAAGGCTCAATTTTCTTTCTGTGCAGTTGGTGCAATTTCAGTACCAGTTCCCTTTGCTTGATATTTTTCAAAGTCAAGAGCCAAGAAGGAGTGAAACAGAGAAGCTGGACAGTAGGGGAAGGATAGTTGAGAGACATTCAGCAACTCACCTGACCTATGCCAAACACGCAGTACCAATGTGCTTTTGGCTGCTGGTTTTGCCGGACGATTTCAAGCTGCGACGGAGGACACTGCGGCGGTGATCCTCAAACCGCTTGTGATTGCGAGGGATGAGAATGAGAAGTGTTTGATTGCGACTCATCTAAGTCAAATGCAATGCCGTAATGGGAAGCTTGCATGCTGGATTCAGAATCTGCTTTTGCAGAATCCTGGAAGTTCTTCGGGTTCCAAAAGTCGGGGTTGACTGTCAGCAAATTGAGCACCCACGGAACTCTTTTTGAACTATCCAGTAAACTAAGAATTTGATGAGGGCGACCAAGTGGACATGATGGAACATCCATGGGTCGTCCTGGTTCTGGTCACAAGTGCCCCTTTCCAGCTCGAGCTGAGGAAGCTTCGGTGAATGCGGTGAGAGTCAGCATCAAGGCGCATCAAGCGGCGCGAGTCAGCATTTGTTCATTATGTTGCCCATGATCGCTGCGTGTTTCGCTCCATTGCCACGTTTGGTACTCCTTGAGTTTCACACGACGTTTCACCCGACGTTTTATCCTTTGGCTATATTCCAGATGCATGGCTCATGGCACACACCCTTTACATAACCCACCTTAGGGTGAAGGGGCTTTATATAAAGGGGCGGAGACTTCGTTGGACCGCAAATGAGGTATGCTTGGCAGTTCATTCTGTTTGCTTGACCACTTACCACTCCGACAACAAGACCCCGACACTGAAGCAATCAATTCCTGCGTTGATGGCATTTTGTGGCTCCAACACGTGTAACACACCAGATGAAGCCATCAACTGTAGTGTATAACTGTATATATTCAAGCTCAGCTACCCTTCAATTCTTTACAGTGGTTCTAATGACGATCCCCCCAACACCGTTCATCAACGGTCTACCTGGGCTGTGGTGTACGTCACTGACCACTCGGTTGATGGTTTCCAAGTGTGTAAGTTGAAACATGTCCAGGGTACGTGGACAACCGCTCCTGCAGGGCTATCAGCCATTGCTTGGATTGTGAAGAACACCGTTGATATCCCTAAACAGGTCATCATCATCGCCGATAGTGAATACTCTATTAACCAGATCCATTCTGTTGCCACAGATGCATTCGAGATCATGCCACGCAATTCCGCAAATGCAGGCCTAATGTGTCTAAAAGCAACATATTTGAGCCCGAACAAAGTCTTCCTAAGTTTTCCTTCGCATAAGGCATCAGGCATCAGTGAACTGATGCTCGCTCCATGAGTAACAATGCTGCGGATATCGCATCGAAATGCACTGCAAGCATCCTTCGTTATCCACAAGATTCGAAACAGGGTAGCTTGGTTCCAGACTATCCCAAGAAGGGTATCAACGTCTTTGGATGAAGATAAACAAGGCTCTTGACAAGCTGAATTTTTTGAAATCGCGCGTAAACACATCGCTTAAACACATCTTGCAAGTTTCAAAAAAAAGGGTGCCTTCTAGCCGCTAAATTTGATATTCTGACTCTGCACATCCAGCAGCCACGTGTTTGGGGTGGAAACGGAAGAGTACAGTATCATTTTTTTGGGGGAAGAGAATTGTGATGTTGGGAGATGTGTTTGTCCATTCATTCCAAATTGCATTATCAGCTGTACAACCACAAGTCTGTAGAAAATCTATACAGCCGTGCTTGCCGCTCCAAGTTGATGCTATTTCACCTTTCTCCAATCTCACTGACCAGGATGATTTGTTTACATACTTGTAGCTTCTTTGGACTGTTTCTCTTAGGTGTTATTCTGGTCTCCAGTTATGATTTTACATACAAAGACCCCAGTACTCGTTTAAGCTGAACAGCTGAAGGGTGAGGTGGTGGCGTTCAGACATTTTGCAAGTATTCTTATTTGTGAGAGGTCTAGGGTTTTGAAAAACAGCCAAATAGAGATGAGATGTGCAAACATATCACCCAAGATGATGCCCTGGAATCAAGCTGGCTGTTCAGGTGCGTCAGTCAGATGACACAGAGTGTCTTGGAGTGCAAGGGTTGTTGCAATTACAAGTTCTAATGTTAAGTTTCCCCAAAAATCTAGACACCAAATCATTGGTGCGTGAGCTATCCTGTGTCCTAAGTAGTAGCTACTTGAGGTAGTAGCTACCTTTCCTTACTAGCTACCGTTTGCTACTACCTCTACGGCCTACCCCCCCCGCCCCGGGCTTGTTACTACTAGTAAGGCACCTGTTACTACTAGTAAGGCACTTGTTACTAGTAGCGATGCACTTGTTACTAGTCAGTTTCACGCATACTGAGTTTTCTGCGCAGTCTCTGGTGATACAACGCCTACTCTGCCGAGGAAGCTCCTTTGTCGCAAGTTCGCCAGCTTCTTCACTCAGCGAGCGGAGCATTTCGTGATCCTACGGCGAAAGCCCGTGGAGGGGTATGACATTAGCTTTTTGATCACCAATACCCACCTCGAGGTGGGAAGCCTACGAAAACGCAGACAGAACTCAAGCCATGCTGATATCATTGCTGGGCCTGTAGGAGATGTGCTGATTCTCTGTAATTGCCATTACATCATCCAGGAAATGATGAAAGATCGCATTGTGGACTTCATCATTGAGTTTATGGAGGAACCGTAGCCGGCTTATCTTTGGCGTTATTCAAACATGGACATCAAAGGCTTAAACCTTGGTTCCTGGAAGTATTGAGAGTTTGTTTGGTCTCCTTAGCAGCTGTTTCATTCCTCAGGCCACTCGTGATCAGCTCCGAGCGTGTTTGCATCAAAATTGGGGATCCCTCAACCACGTTGTTGTGGTTTGCGGTTTAAGATGTTTTAAGGTTTCCGAACGCCAAAGCAAACTCAATTTGTCTTTTTTTTTGGGGGGGGCAGTTTTGGGTGGCAGGACGTCGACAAGGAGATCAAGGACTTGAAGATTGCGTTAAACACCCGGCTTCGGGCCGCAGCACCAAAGCTGCAACAAACCACCCTTGTTCAGACTGAAATTTGTGGAACATCAGGAGCCATTTTTTCACATGCCTTTTGGGCGCGGCAAGGGTTGGATCCAATGGCACCATTTGGAACCATTGTAAGAGTCTTGTTATCATTTCACTTGCCTACTGTAAGAGTCTGGGAGTCTGGGATGTTATGTCCTACTGTGCACTTTCATTCTTGATTGATCGATCAGTCTTGTCCCTGGTGTGTCAGAACCCTCTCTTGGGTTTACTTGGGAATTGGCATTGCAGGCATAGATAGTTTGATCATCTATTTCCGACATTTTGCTGCCTGAATCGTGAACCTCTTTGATTTTGTCATGTTAGCCTAGGCGGCAGCGTACATGTCGCAATTCTCTCAGAGAGGCTGAGAGTGGCGGCAGAAAATACTTCTGCCAGAGTTGGTTCTCTTGAGCGGAAAAAGAGACTCAGAGGTTGAGTTGAGTTCCTCAGATCAGACCTCCAACCTAGAAGCAATGGCGTCCAGCATAAGAGCGACGGCCGCCAACCAGAAGCCGTGGCCTCCAACCTACTAAGAGCGATGGCCTCCAACCAATGTCGGTTCGGCCACACCCGTGTGATGTGCCAGGATCAGACGGTTAGAGACATCCTCAGACATGGCTGAGACTGCCTGAACGACACATTGAACCGGGCCCAACCCTTCCAACCCTTCCAAGGCATGGTGGGTAGAGTCAGACTTTGGCTCTCTGCCCCTCAATGCAGTTGACGGTTCATCGCGGCGTTGCTGCGGTGGCGGACTCGTCTTTTACGGCATCCACTTTCCATCAAGCCTTTCGGCGATGGCTTCGCACACATGGCCTTCCTCCCTCCCTCATTCAGGAAGCCGACGCTTTCCTCGACCTCCAATGGCGCCAACTGGCCCCGGGCTGCACACGGGTGGAACTGCAGAAGGCCATTGCCAGTATCCAGTGCGGCCCAATGCACACTCATAACACATGGGTAAATCAAGCAGACCCAAGAAGAAGAAAGTGTATACTTCCGGCCCAAGCGCCTCGTTTTGCGTTTGACAAATGCATTTTTCAACACGGTTGAGGGCGTAGGCTATTTGCCCACTAGAAATGGAACTCCGCACAAGCAACAGGCAGCAACAGGATTGCTTTTGCAGTTGCTTGCTACGTGCGGTTCCATATGTCCTCATTCTGTGGTTCTTTGCCATTCAAAGTGGTCTTCCGCCCGTTCGTCGCTGGCGCGAACGATTCACTGGATCTGCTCACTCTGTTACGCTGAGTCACTCGGAGTAGCGGGGAGGTTTGGGTAGGTTTCTATCTTGTGCATACACGCTGAGTCCAAATTTACTTGGACACCCTTCACATCCATGCACCAAATCACCCAATATCCCAATGCACACCGACCGACTCCACCAGCTAAGCAGTGCAAACCAAATTCATTTCTCATGGTTTGGCGTGGCCGTGAATGGTGCTCCGATGGAGCGGCAAGCCGAGTGTCGTCCCAGCTCCGAGCCTCCCATCTGCTTGTAGCAGTGGAGTGCTTCCAGCTACGATTCATTCAAGTTCCCTCTGTAACTTTCGTAGGCGTCGTGGGTGTCAGCCACAAGCAATGCTGTGCAACAGTGTGCATAGTGAGTCCTGCCCGTATTCTTCCCCAAATGTGGTGGCATACTTGTGAGTGGGTACGTTGGTTTGGTACAAGCGTGTGAACGACGCGTGTATGCAACACCCTCTGCGCCTGTAAGAAGAACGCCAAAACAAACCACTCAATATGTTGTAGTCAAGTATGCCTCATCTCTACCATTACGCCCCAACAGCAGGAATTTGTTGGGGTCAGTGCAGTTTTTTCCTTTCCCCGAAAGCCAGACATGCGCGACTCCAAGTCAGCCAACTTGCCAGCCTGACACCCTCATCAACGGCTCTGCCCAGCCAGGCGGAAGTCGGCAGTTGCAGAAGGAAATCCCACGTCGGCATTGTGCGCATGGCCCACGTGGCACTGAATCTGACGCGCAAAGAAATTCTGATTGGGAAAGGGTCGGAATCAAGGTTTGCTTCGGGCTGGCTGAAGGTGTTGAGGCATGCATTGCGCCAAAGTGTGGGCACGAGGCGCAGGTCAAGAGCCGGATCCCGCATATGGTTTGTGGAAAGAAACTAGTCTACGCCTGGCGTGCCGTGAGAGACCTGTCGTCCCTGGCGATCTAAACCAGGTGTTTTCTACCAAAAGGCGCCACGAAAGTTCATTTATAATTTATCATTGTCATCTCCTACCAAGTTAACACCGCGCCCATACATGAAATGTTCACCTGCAAAATCGACGGGGCCCGCCGCTCAACGACCTTGCTGTCCCGGTCGCTGATGGAGCAGCAAACTGTCGTACAACACTAGCCGACTAGGTTGTGTGGGAGGTTGCCCGGGCAAATGCAACCTGAGGTGACTGCTAAGTAGCGTTTTTTGTTTCATTCAGTCCACCTGCGTTTTCCTGTTACTTCGGATTCTGGAATCATCCGTTGTTTGTTCACCCTTTTTTCCCGTTATCCATCGCTTATGTTTATGGCGTCGAATCAGTAATGATGTTGCGATGTGTTTGCAATTCGCGCCCCAATTGATTTCCATGCCTCGTGGACATTCTTCGTTGAAGATGCGTTCATCACATGGCCGGTGAAACTAATGGCATGTCGTGTCATCGCCGCCTTTTGAAAGGTTTTTGGCGTTTAGAGTGCTGATGGTCTATCCTTTGGCCATCTCTTTATCCACCGCGGATCGTCGGACAAGTCAGGGAGCTGCATTTACTGCATGGCACAAGAAAGAACATGCCGAAACAAATTATTTACGACGGGACGATGGCATTCACTGTGAACTCACCCAAAAGCTTTGAGGGCATGCATTCGCATTTGTTGTAAGTGAAAGTGCAATGAACGTTTTCATGAATATACAGATATACAGCACAGCAGCAGCAACAGCAGTGGAGAGCCATGCCTTGTTTCTTTACATTTTGTTTTTTTAAAGATTATATTTGCATATATTTGCGGACATGTCATGGAGCCATGCCTTGTTTTTGACGAAAGCGGTCTCCGAACGAGGTCAGCTGAAGTTCTAGTTTACGATTAGATAGGTCAAAATCGAAGGGATCAATTTAAAAATAATGTGTTCTTTTCTGTTTCGGATTCTGCTTTTGCTGCTTTTCTGCTTCTGCTGCTTTTGCTTTTGTTGCTTTTCTGCTTTTTGTGTTTTTGTCTTTCTGCTCTTTGCTTTTGTTGCTTTTCTGCTTTGGCAGCTTCTCCTTTCTCTTTTTGTTTTTGCTTTTCCATTTGTTTGCTTTCTAACCTTTGGATCTGGTGTGCTGCTGGGGGGCGCAGCGCAACGAAATCTGCACTTCATCTCCGACACCAGCGCCTGCAACGAAATCAATTTTTAAAGGTAAACTCAAGGCTCAAGGGGGCAAACATTCTAACCAACCATATATGCCTCCTGTGCTTGATATGCTCTTTCTCTTTATTGTTTCTCTGCTAACTGCACCAAACTGTTGTGATAGGTAGGAATTTCTCTGACACCTATACTATTCCAATGTATTTTGCCAGCTACGACGGCTCCCAAATTAGCCTAATCAGCCAGCAATTAATATGAAGCCTGCACTATTCCAATGTATTTGGCCAGCTACAACACCTGCGTCTCTGCCAAGGACACGAACTTGCTGCAACTAGCTAGGTACTAATAAGAAACCTGCTCTATTCCAATGTTTTGAAAAACTTATCGAAGCAAAAACACATTACACATTAAAAGTGCACCCATTAAAAAATCAGGACACGCCCCCCCCCTTCCCCCCGCTTCGCGTGAAGCGAATCAATAGGACCTCCTTCCCCCTTTAACGAAATGAAGCGATATTGATTCAGGGCCCCTCCCCCCAAAGGGACACGACACCACAAACATCATCCCCAGAAACTTTTAAAGGTGTTCTCACATTCGTGTTTGTCATCGCTTTCGTTCCCCGCCTTTCAAGTTAGGATCTGTTGAGAGTTCAACACTGGCAGCAAGTAGGCGGGGTGTCAACCCTCAGGTCCAAGCAAATGAGGTCTTGGTGCACTTCTCGGCTTGTGCGTTCCCCGCACGGCCGCCGCAGCGGTTTCCACAGCTCTCACGGCCTGTCGGTGGCCCATGGCGTCAAGTTAAGGCGCGCACCCTCCCTGGCTTCGAGGCGCGCGCGGCGACAAGCTTTCAAAAGCAAAGGTCATGCCAACATGTTCCGCGGCGCGGAATTCACAAGTGGCGAGAGGGAATTTTGATTTCCAGCTTGATGTCTGGCCGGCACTGCAGATTCGCCCAAGAGGTCTCCGCTGGCCGTGCTCCAGTGTGTTCCTGCTGAGCGGCAAGCACTGGTCCCAAAAAGTGTGGGAACAGCAGCTGCAGGGGACTCTCTGGTAAACCAAATTTGCGTTTTTGCTTGCAACGCATGCTTGGTGTGCATGCCAACAAGCACCTTGCGCGGCCACAGCAACAGATCTCATGGAAGCTGTTTGCTTCTCCACTTTCAACCTTTGTTGAAGATTCAAGTGATGATCTCTCTTCAAACTCTCATGGGCGGCAGCCCAAACAGGACACGCCGACACCCATGAGCTGCCTCATGGCCTTTGGCCTCAGCTTCTAGCAAGTCCATCACGAAGTAGCCGAATGCGGCGTTCCAGCTCTGGAGCTTCTTTTCGAAGCTGCGTGTTTTCTTCACGAAGCCGCCGGGGAACAGGATTCTCATCATAGCTTTCAGTCTGGGTGGTGCCATCACCAAGGTCTAACCTGTTGAATTTCTTCTTTGACAAGGTGTGCAACCAGCTCATCACTTTCCACACAAAGACCCCCACAAAAATGGTAAAGAGGATCACAAACAAGATGCCGCGATCATCTTTCCCATCCGTGGTCACGACAGTCGACCGGGCATAGGCGGACCGGGTGAAGTAGCCAGCCAACATTGAAAAACATCGCGCTGGTCGTTTGACAGCAGACATTCAAGCATTTTGTTTCCTCTGCTTGGGGCACTTCCTTTTGGAGGATTGAAAAGTTGTGTCGCCCTTTAGCTTGGTCAGGTGTGACCGGAGACGCTGGGCGAACAACATGGCAACACTCTGTTTTGTCAGTTCATCAGCGCATTTGCAGCTCTGAGGAAACCCAGATGATTTTCCCTCCACAGCAAGCTAGGAAACGGGTTTCTATGGTGATACGTTTGTTTGCACTGGTCGCCACTTGGACCTCGTTTTTTGTGAGGACATCGAAGAGAGCCTTGGCGTCCACAACGAGTTTTGGAATTGGAACCAGCCTGCCAGTCTCAAGGCTGTTGAGGGGCCTGT